CGGCAATCGTGTCTGTCGTATGCATAACACGACTCTCGGGTTTGACGACAACTGTTTGAATCAAACCATTGCTCAATGGATTGGTTGCGATGAAGACAGCTATAAATACATGATTATAGCAATAGTTGTAATTGTGATTACAATAGCAGTGATTTTAGCATTGATTTCATACAAATTGTGGACAAAATATTCTTCGAGAGACAAAGAAGACAATGAAATATGTAATCAAATAATCAATTCTTTAGCACAGAATCAGTCTATTAGTCGAAGAAAGGCAGATCATAAGATCTGACGGATATCAACATTGGATTAAATTATGAGTAAAATGAAAATAAATAATTTTTTATGAATAATAATTAACATTAATTGAAATTTTAATAATAATACAATTGTTCTAAGAATATCCCATTTTTAATAAAAATGTTGGAATTGTCTAAAGATTAGTTTGTGCAGTTTGTTTTTGGAATCAATTAATTAAATAATAAATTAGTAATTCATTGATTTGCATTGACTTATAATTATCATATTTTACTCATAGAAAAAGTGTAAATGTGTTGCCATTGAATTAACGTTAGTATTGCTAACAAAATAATAGTTTAATTTGCTTTTCATTTATTTGTTAACATATTGAACACAAATATATCACAATCAAAACTCAGACAATATAAACATGTCATTTACCAGACACTTAAAGACTACTTGAAGCCTAGAAGAGTGTCACCCAAACTGTTCCACTCGAAGACCACATTTGAGTTTAAGTTAATTTTTATATTATTTCAAACCATTGTCGCATAACTAAAAACATTTTGTAACCGTCTGGAAATATTTGGGCTCAAAATCTAAACACAAATGCATTTCATTTTGCAATTATTTGTGGTTTTAATACAACTGTTAATCGTATTGAATGCAAAGGTAAGTGATTTTGTATATAATTTAGTTTAATAAATATGTTAATTAATTATTTAATCCCAGAATCCATTGTGTGACCAAAACATCACAATTGATTCGGCATTTATGGACCGATACTGTTGTGTCACTTTGTTTGCGGACAACACTGTCTATCAATTGACTGTCAATACAACGGATCGCATGAATCCTGTCTTTAGATATAAGAGATCCCAAACATTAAGCGAGTGGTCAAATGGGGGTAATATTGTTGGTCCCATAAATTGCGTGTATTATTACGATAGATTAAGAGAAATTATATTAATTAATGTAATAATTATATAAATAATGCAAATATACATTAATTCTTTACATTGTTTATAGATAAACAAGACTACAGTTTGGAAAATGTGGTCAAACAGTAAGTCGATATTTGAATCTATGAATATTTCCTATCCTGAAAATATGGCAGCAATAGAAAAAACAGACCAACTCTTTGAGTGCAAAAATCAGTTCATAATATTTTATAAATTATTGCCAAAAGAAATAATTTCAACAATCAATTCGTTGCCATTCCGTGAGAGAGATAGATATTTGCCACCAAATATGGCCGGCTTTGACTTTTACTTTGACTATTTCTATTTGTTTGCGGGCAATCGTGTCTGTCGTATGAATTACTTTACTAAAGAGTTTGACGACAAGTGTTTTAATCAAACCATCGCTCAATGGATTGGATGTGAGGACAACAATAAATACATGATTATAGGAATAGTTGTGATTGTGATTACAATAGCAATCATTATAGCATTGATTTCATACAAATTGTGGACAAAATATTCTTCGAGAGACAAAGAAGACAATGAAATATGTAATCAAATAATCAATTCCTTAGCACAGAATCAGTCAATGAGTCGAAAGATCAACGAATCGACGATAAAATAATCGTTTAAGACATTAAAGACTTATCACACGAAGAGATTAATGTATTTATCGATAAACAAAAATTAATGGTATAAAAAATAAGACCATTTCAAAATCGGATTACATTAAAATTTTAATGATTATTATAATGATTAGCGTTAATTTTAAATTAATTATATGTAAATGTAATTGTTCACAATTAATAAAATTTAATAAATTATTGCCAAAAGAAATTATTTCAATAATTAATTCGTTGCCAATCCATGAGTTCAAGAGATATTTGTCACAAAATACCGCCGGCTTTGCATTCAATGACTATTTCTATTTGTTTGCCGCAAATCTTGTCTGTCGTCTGAATTACCGGACTCTTAAGTTTGACGACAATTGTTTCACTCAATCTATTCCTCAATGGATTGGTTGTTATGAAGACATCACTAAAAATGATGGCACCAATAAATACAAGATTATAGCTATAATTGTGATTACAATAGCAGTAATAATGGCATTGATTTCATACCAATTGTGGACAAAATATTCAAGAAATAAAGAAGACAATGAAATATGTAATCAAATAATCAATTCTTTAACACAGAATCAGTGAATGAGTCGGAGAAAGACTAATTACTCGAAGACATCGATGTCTTTGTCAATGGAAGAGAAAACATCAACGGATCGTAAGATTAGACAGATTTCAACATTGGATTAAATAATGATTAAAATGAAAATAATTAATTTTATTATAAATAATAACTATAATTAATGCAAATATTAATAATAATACAATTGTTTAAAAAGTATCTAGTTTTAATTAAATTTTGCAAATTTCTAAAAAATTAAATATTGGGTATGAGGAAAAATAGCAAGAAAATCGCAGAGTAAAATGAAAATTATTTTTTATTAATAACCAAATTAGTAATTCAGATTATATATCGGCCATCATTTTTGGCAACTATTGATCTTCATTTTAGTAAAGATTCAATATCTTCCAAATAAAAATGGCTGCCCAAAATGAAAATTATTTTTTATTAATAACCAAATTAGTAATTCAGATTATATATCGGCCATCATTTTTGGCAACTATTGATCTTCATTTTAGTAAAGATTCAATATCTTCCAAATAAAAATGGCTGCCCTGAGAGTCAAAAAAGTAAGTGATGTCTATTTCGACCATTACTTTTGTTTTGACATTTTTACCACTAAGACATGATTGCAAAGTGTGATATAATAGCCAATCTTGTAGAGTAATAACTGAAGATTCTAATGAATATTAGAGATATATTCGCTCAATAACATAAATTATGTTTAAGGTGATTTTAAAAATATCTCACCTAAAAAATAGGCCAAAAATAGCCATATTTTGGGTATATTCCCAAATATCTGCTCGGGATCCTTTCCTGGCCCTTTATAAATGGTTATAAATGGGTAAATTTGTTAAGCCTAAGTTGACCAACAATTTAATATTTAAAAGTTTTTGATTGGACTTAACACAGTCTCATGGCACATGATTGTTTACAAGTCGGGGTCGACTCAATCGGAGCCAGACTTAGAGGTCATAACATTCAAATTTTAACATTTTAAACAATTCACTACATAGGTTGATAGCCAATGCATTGCCTCCGAATCTAATACTGTTTGAAATAAGCTATTAAGTAGTCATTTAATACTATAATTCAAATTTAAGAAAAACTTTGATGTGTTCTCTATGGTTAGTTTTATCTGGCGACCCTACTTCTTGCTATAAATATATTAATTTTATTACATATAATTGAAGCTAATATATTGAAGTATTGAATAGAGTTTAAATGAATTGGTTCATGCAATGCATAAAAATTTTACACTTATTCAAAGTCAAGTAAGGCAAATTTTCTCGCTATTTTCCCTCATGTCCAATAT